TCGACTGCTGACCCGTCGCTGTTTTTACGCACCGACACTTCGCTGCTGCAGTTCTACATCCTCGTGTACGTCGACGACTTGGTCTTTGCCACTTCTGACACTTCGGATGAGTCCGTAGAGCCGAGTGGCCCGTATCCAGAGCTTGTGGGCTGCCTCATGTACCTGATGACCTGCACTCGACCTGACCTTGCTTACCCTCTTAGCATCCTGGCACGCTACGTTGCGCCCGGGAGACACCGACCAGAGCACTGGGATACCGCTAAGAGGGTGATGCGCTACTTGTGCAGTACGTCGGGCATGGGGCTCGTGCTTGGAGGACGGGCACGAGTTGTCCTCACTGGTCACGCAGACGCTTCTTGGGTTAACGACTTGGCTACGCAGCAGTCGTCACAGGGTTACACCTTCAGCCTTGGTTCCGGCTCTGTTTCTTGGCGGTCTACCCGCTCGTCTTCTGTTCTCAGTTCCAGTTGTGAGGCTGAGATCTACGCAGGGGCCATGGCTGCACAGGAGTTACGCTGGCTCACCTACCTGCTGACCGACTTGGGCGAGCCACCTCGTTCTCCTCCAGCTCTGTACGTCGACAACAAGGCCATGATTGCCTTGTGTCAGGAGCACAGACTGGAGCACAGGACGAAGCACATCGCTCTGCGTTACTTCTTTGCTCGAGAGTTGCAGCAGCGTCGACAGCTTCGTCTTGCTTACGTGGCCTCTCGGGCCAACACTGCTGATATCTTCACCAAGGCACTTCAGCCTTGTGATCATCAGCGTTTCTGTACTGTTCTAGGCCTTGTGCCTACTTGGCCTCACTTGCTCACTTCTTGACTTTGCTTGTACTGTGATCTATATGCTTATACCTGCATGCTTACACTTGCTAGGTTTTGATCACTGTACTGCTTGTTCTGCTTTATATAACTCTACATGTGAACTGGCCTTGTGGCCATTTGCTTGTGCTCAGAATGTGTGGTGACTTCGTGATCCACCCTGAGCTTGCTTTGCTTTTCTTGACTGGTCTTGTGACCTCTTGTTCTCCCCCACTTTGCCTATGGGGGTGTGTCAAACTTATATGCTGCATGTTGTGTAGGCTATAGTGGGGTAGCCCATATGGGGTACAACCCAATTAGGGTTTGCTACTTGTACCCATCTTGCTGCTAGTTCATCCATTCTTGCTTACGGATTCTGACAACGGTACCCGTGGATTTTCCCAGACGATTTACCGGAGGGACTGCCACCTCAGCGAGCACACGACGACCGCATAGAGTTAGAACCGGGGGCACAGCCAACCGTACAGCGATAGTTTCGACTGACACAGCCCGAACTTGACGAACAGAGGAAGCCGTTAGATTACCTAATGGAGAAAACGTTCATCCGAGCTCATCGCCGTTCGCCGCACCGATACTGTTCACACCGAAAAAAGACGGAGGGTTCCGCATGTGTATCGACTACCGCGCACTGAACAGGGTAACAATCAAATCGCGATATCCCATCCCCCGCGCCGACGAACTCATCGACCAACTACGAACAGCTAGGGTATTTTCGAAAATCGACTAACGCGGCGGTTACCACCAGATTTGAGTCGAACCGCCAGACTGCGCCAAGACAACATTTCGAACTAGATACGTGTCGTTTGAATACACAGTGATGCTTATTGGGCTGACCAACGTGCCCGCGACTTTTTAGATGACCATGAACGAGGCGTTTAGGCCGCTTTTAGATAAATGCGTCATAGTTTACCTCGACGACATCTTAGTTTACAGCCGGGACCAGCAGCAGCACTTAACAGATCTAGAGGCAGTGTTTAAGATTTTAGACGAGCATCGGCTACTGACCAATGGTTCAAAGTGCGAGTTTTTTCAGGACCTGCTCGAATTTCTGGGGCACGTTATTTCGGAGGCTGGAGTTGAGATCGACCCGAAAAAAATAGACACGGTGAAAGCGTGGCATCCCCCGACAAAAATCACGGAGCTGCAAAGTTTTTTAGGGTTCGTTAATTATGTGCGTCGGTTCGTCCTTGACATGGCACAGTTAACTGCCCCATTGACGGATTTTCTACGGAAGGGGGTCGCTTTTACGTGGGGGGAGAAAGAGAATGTTGCCTTCTCTGCCCTGAAAACTGTTCACTGTACCCCACCCGTGCTACGCATCGCCGACCCACACCGCCCATTCGAAGTGGTTACCGACGCCAGCGACATCGCCATTGAAGCCGTACTGCTACATGACTTCGGCAACGGATTACAACCCATCGCATACGAGTCACGAAAACTGCATCCGCTCGCGATCGTGCACCCCTTCAAAGTGTGGCGCTGTTGCTTGACCGGCGCAGAGGTGACAGTACGAACGGACCACAGATCACTACAGTACCTTCGTGCACAGCCCCACCTCAACACACGATAGGTCCGTTGGCTCGACTTCATCGAGTCCAACTTTCACTACACGCTCACCTACAAAGAAGGAGCCTCGAATATCGCCGACGCACTGACCTGCCCCACTGCCCAGATACACGACATACTACTCACCCAGACCAGCCCACTGCTTACATGACTATTTACCCACGGCTACCAAACAGACCCATTCTTTACCGGAGGAAACTCGCAGCAGTTCTTAGTAGCAAAAGGGGTTTATTATGTAAAAGCCAGCACCAATCGCATCTGGGTACCGGGCTTCACTTTACTGCGGGAGTTCCTGCTACAGGAGGCACACGACGGGGTTACCTCAGGACATTCCGGAGTAGAGAAAATACGACAGCAGCTGCAGCGATATTACTACTGGCCCGAGATGCCGACCGACGTGCAGCGACACGTGGCATCGTGTCCCACCTGTCAGCTCATAAAGTCGTCACGACAGCGACTGGCAGGACAGTTGCAGCCGATACCACCCCCAGAGCGTGCTTGGCAGCAGGGGACGATGGACTTCGTCACGGAGTTACCGGCCGGAGCAAGTGGGAACGACGAGATCCTGGTCGTCGTCGATCGGCTGACGAAGACGGCACATTTCGCAGCCTGCAAGAAATTAATCACAGCCGAAGAAACAGCCGGACTCTTCATCTCCACCGTCGTTCGCCTGCACGGGATACCACCAGCGATTATCAGCGATCGCGACACGAAATTCACCAACAACTTCTGGCGGAACCTGTGGCAGCAGTTCGGCACGCGACTACAGTTCAGTTCATCATACCACCCTGAAACCAACGGTCAAACAGAACGGACAAACCAGACCATGGAGCAGTTAATCCGAGCCACGTGCGACGACCCGGCAACATGGGAACAACAGCTGCCACTCATCAAATTCGCGTACAACTCCACGTCAGCCACGAAACAACAGTCGCCCTTCTACCTCAACTACGGACATAACTCAACAGTGCCCATGACCCCGAATCCTGACAACCCAGTACCACGCGCACAACGGTTCGCAGAAATACTATAGGTAGCCCGGACCCGAGCAGCACACACAATAAAAAAATCAAACATCATCGCAAGCGCAACGCCAATCGCCTCCGCCACCCCGTAACATACCAACACGACGACCTCGTACTCCTCGACACCCAGAACCTCCGCCTGCCCGTAACCCCAAAACTTCGCCCCCGATATTGTGGGCCATTTCGCATCAGCCACATGATAACACCCGTCACCGCCCACCTCCTCCTGCCCGCTAACTGATACGCCAACCCCTCCTTCCACGTCAGCCGCCTCCGCCCCTATGTTCCATCCACTAGTCAACTGCCACGCAACCAACCATCTAGCATGACGCGACCACCCACCGAGCCCGTCATCACCCCCGAAAAGATTTTGAGCCATCGCGTTCGAGACCCACGTGGAGCCTGCAGGATCGAGTTCCTGATTCGCTGGAAAGATCGCACACCTACCGAAGAGAACTGGGTACCCCTGGATAAAATCGAGAACCACCCCGCCTTGACCGAGTATCTGCGCAGCCGCAATTTTCGGGACGTACACGCACTCTCGTAAGGGGAGCCCCATTGGGGAGGGGGATACTGTAAGGAAAATTCATGTTACTTACTTCGCGCCCCTGCGTAATGCGTACACGACTGTTCCCGCCAACATCGTCCAACAGTGAAATGTTACCCACTCGCGACACTCGCTTCGACCACTGTTCCCGCCACTGTACACCTCGCGACCCAACCTCACAGTTCGGTAGGTAACCCGCGCTCCGGCCCTCCGCCTCGACATTTCCCAACCTCGGCGCTAGGCCCGTCGCGCACCACATTCTCGCGCATGACCGTTACCACGCTAGGCTTTCGCTATATATTGTTCGCTCACTCCTTCGCCCATTGTACTCTTGCTTCGATAGTGCAATTCTCGCTCGCTCACCCAATTGCACTCGTAACATAACGCAAGAAAGGAGTTCGCGCTGTTTATTTGCGAGCGGCGGCTGTAACTCACGTTTTTTTCTAGCCAAGGTCTCGAACAGTTCCCGTTGCACAGTGGCTTTTTCCATATCAGAAAATCTCCAGGTTGGGTTTCGGTGGGACGCGGTTTGTACTGTTACGGTGGAGTTCGTTACTGTACGTCAAAATACAAGTCCAAGTCGGGGTTGTCGGGGTTGTCGGGATTCGGTTCGGTTCATCACTGATTGCCAAACACCCATGTCCAACGAATGCGAGCTCGTACGACACTCCCTGGATTCACCTGTAACCCGTTTTCGTCGTGGGCGGCCTCTACCCCCAGAACACCAACAGTCTATTTCCTGTCCGCGCTTCGCGCTTGCCGCGCGTTCCACATCATGCCGCCTCGATCGACCGCTCGTCGTCCTCCGCTGATATGACAGCTGAGATCACAGCCGTTCAATCTCTGAGTCAGATAATAGTAATCAGGTCTCAATAACAGCGACAGCTCTGAAATCATCATAGCCGCGCCTCCGGCGCCCATCCATTCCGCCTTTTCCCTCATCTGCTCCGCGCCCCTCCCGGGGGCCTCATCAGTTCCGCCTCCCCCTCTCATCCTCTCCGCGTTCCCTCTCATCTGCGCCGACGCCCGTCCCGCCGCCCCATGCAACCGCCGTCATCGGCGCGCTCGTTGCTGGGCGCGCGATGGGGCGGCACGGGGCGGGCGCTTCTGGCGGCGGCGTGGGTGGCGGGATGGGTGGGGCTGTGCGCGTGGGTGGTGTGGTTTGCGCACAAGCAGGCGGACGAGCCGCGGCAGGAGGCGTCGGCGTGTGGTGCCGCACGCGCGTGCGCTACCTCCACCAGGACATCCGCTCCGCCATTGCGCGCGCCGAGGTAGTAAATACGTGCGCCGAGGTAGTAAATACGCACGCGGAGGTAGTAAATACGAGCGCCGACTTATTGCGCGCCGAGACATTTCCCCCAACCCGTACTAGCGCGCGTGCTTCCGCGCAAGTGCTTCCGCGCAGGTGCTTCCGCGCAGGTGTTTCCGCGCAGGTGTTCCGCGCAGCTGTTCCGCGCAGGTGCTTCCGCGCAGGTGCTTCCGCGCAGGTGCTTCCGCGCAGGTGCTTCCGCCCTGCCCTACCTCCGCGAATGCTTGGCCAGTGAGCAGACAGGCCGCTGCGCCCGCATTTGCAAGCACCTACCCACTTGGTATAACCGTTGCCACTCCGCCCATTCCTGCGAGCCATCCTCGAACCCCCTTTCCCTTCAAGGCCTCCGCCATGCCCCCATTCTCACCATCCCCGCGCCGTTCCCCCATCCCCACAAGCCCTGCGCGCGCCCCCTGTACGCCCGAGCCCTGCGCGCTTTCCCCCTTTCCCCCTTTCCTCGGAACTTTTCTTCTGCAGTCCACTGTGGGGCGGGCGGATGCACGCCGCGCCACTACTTTTGAGGCGCCTCAAAAGTAGTTTCCCCCTTTCCTCAGAGCTTTTCTTCTGCAGTCCATTGTGGGGCGGGCGGATGCACGCGCCACTAGAAGTTGCGCCCTTTGCGCGCGCCCATGAACCCTACTAGGTGCCCATGCACATACATACGTTCTCATGGCCCTCCGAGGGCCCAGGTGCCTGGTGTGAGGGCCCAGGTGCCTGGTGTGAGGGCCCAGGTGCCTGGTGTGAGGGCCCAGGTGCCTGGTGTGAGGGCCCAGGTGCCCTCATCCCCCATTCGTGCTCATGGGCCCTTGCGGGCCCTCCTGATTGGGCTGTGGGGTGGGCGGATGCGCCAGTAGCTGCGCCTTTTGCGCGCGCCCAGGGGGGAAGTGCGCCCAGGGGAGAGGGCGATGAGGGGGAGAGGGCGATGAGGGGGAGAGGGCGATGAGGGGGAGAGGGCGATGAGGGGGAGAGGGCGCTGAGGGGGAGAGGGCTCTGAGGGGGAGAGGGCGATGAGGGGGAGAGGGCGATGAGGGGGGGAGAGGCCTGCCCTTTCCGCACACCTCTGACCTCTCGCACTGCTTCTCTTCCCCCCATCCAGATCTCTTGCTGTTTTTGTTCCTCAATTTTTCACCCACCCTCCCTTTTCTACACCCCCTTCCTCCCTCGATTCCCCTCCTTTTCTCTGGAAATATTCTTCCCCCCCTCGCTTCCCCACACACACACAGACCCCTTTCCCCGTTTAGGCCTGCATGCTCGTCCTCTCCTCTCGTCCGGTCCTCGCCTTTCCCTCCTTGGTTGGTCCCCTCACACATGCGCACCACGTGTCGCCACCCACGTGGGGATGGGGCTGATGGTGGTGTAGTTGACTTTTGAGTCGACTCAGAAGTCGCCTTTCCCTCCTTGGTTGGTCCCCTCACACACTCGCACCACGCGCCAATCCAATGCCCAGGAGGGTGTTTGGCACGTTGGGCCGGGGCAGCATAAGTTTTTCTTCACAGCACCACAGAGAGTCATTCTTCACCCCTCAGTCAGTCCTCATTCTTCAGAATAAGATTCTCAAGGTTCGGTGCTTACATCCCCGTTCCCGCCTTGTGCCATCAATTTCCACCTGCTCTGGCCAGGAGGGCACGTATGCTGATAAAGGTGTTCAGCATGTATGGCCGTTGCAGCAGCAGTATCGGAGTCATTCGTTGGAATGAAACTCGTTCAGGTCCTCCCCTTTCTCGGCTCTCATGTTTTGCCCCTGATCCTCACACTCACACACTCATCTCCCCCTTTTCACACTCACTCTCACACACTCCAGGAGGGCACGGGGCTGATGAAGGTGTTTGGCTCGTATGGCCCGCGCAGCAGCAGCAACCTGAGCTACTGGGGGCTGGGGGGGTGCGTGAACAACGTGTCTCTGCTGGAGTACACGTGGTGGGCCGACCGCATCGCCAACTACAGCAGCGGCAGCGTCGTGATGGTGTTGCAGGATCAGGACAGGTGAGGTGAAGGGGAGGAGGGGGACAGTGAGGGGGAGTTGGTTGGTTGGTGGTGTGGTGAGCGCACAGCAGCAGCAGCAGCAGCAGCAGCAGCAGCAGCAGCAGCAGCAGCAGCAGCAGCGTCATCATGTGTTTGGTGCGAGGTGCGCTTCATGCTTGGCCTGCCCTCGCCTGGTTTTTGAGAATTCTAAAAGATCTGCCCTTGCCACGCAAGGACTTGTATAATATCTGCGGCAATATGGACACATGTTGCCTTGCCCCATGCGCGGTCATTCATGCGTGCCTGCCCCTCTCCTCCCCCCCACCACACCCCCACCCATGCAGGGCCACAGTGGAGAGGATCACAGGGTGCCAGGCGGCTGCCCTCGCCGCGCAAGGTCTTGTGCGTGTGTGTCTCTCCCCACCCATCTGCACCCATTCTCGCCCACTCCCACCATCCAGGAACACAGTGGAGAGGATCACGGGGTGCGAGGTGCACTCCGTGCTGGGGCTGCCCTCGCCACGCAAGGAACTGTATGCTGTGAACGTGTGTGGCAACATGGACAAAGGCATTGTGCTGCCGCCTCTCACTGACCCCCACCCATTCCCACCCATCCCCACCCACGCAGGGCCACAGTGGAGAACATCACAGGGTGCGAGGTGCGGTCCGTGCTGGGCCTGCCCTCGCCACGCAGAGACCTGTATGCGGTGATGGTTCGTGTTAGGGCCTCAAGACCCGTTCAGTGTTGCCTCCTGGGTGCAGCAGGAGGAGGAGGTGTAGAATTCCACTGCTATAACAGCTCAATAGACCTCGGAAGCATGATTCCAATGCACCAAACGTTGCAAGAAACGCTTAACTATAGCCAGAGATGCACACAAACATAGCAGTAATAGTGACTTGGTTGATTGCTGGTTTGTTCTCTCTGGTTTCACACTAGAATGCAATACAATAAAACAAAGCACACAAGAAAGTGTCGACCCGCGTCGCACGCTGAATTTCGTCGACGCGAAATTCCGAGCCTTGAATTTTCGTTTTGCCGGGCGAATTTCATTGATTGGAATTCCATAGATGAGAATTTTCGCGACCAGAATTATGTCGACCACATACATTAACTCACGTGCGAATTTTGTTGGCTTTGACACTTCGCTGCAGTTTCAATCCGAGCGCAACCTTTAACCGGTTTCGACAAACTGTCCCCAGACTGTCCTGAGAAAGACTCTTTTGGGGTATTTGGAAAAGTCTCTAGTTTGAATCTCGCGTGCACCATAAGCAGCGCCTTAAGCAGGTCTCCATCCTCCAGCATGTCGAGTATGTTGCGCGCCCTCCACTCTAGCTGCACCAAACCGGCCCATGCGTTGCTAATGCTCTCCCTCATCTGCTGCACCGATGCGTTGGATGGCACTGGGCGGCGCAAGATGGGAATGGCAAACACTGCGAGCAGAGGGAGGGATGGGGCAGGACGAGGTGGGGTGGGAACGAGTGGGGCATTCGCGTTTTTGGGACATTTCAAAACAGGGATGGGATGGGAAGGCAGGAAGGCACTGTTTGGGAACATGGGAGAGAGATGGTGCATGCATACATGCAGACATGCATACACGCACACATGCATATGTGCACACATGCGCACATGCGTACATGCACACATGCACACATGCACACATGCATACATACATACATACATGCGTACATGGGTTTTTAAGCTTGCTGCTGGAAACGAGCGCAGGACTGAAGGGTGCATGAAGACGGGAGGCCTTTTTGTGTTAATGAAGGGTGGGGTCCCATGGAGCATAACATAGAACATAACGTAGAGCATAACATTCAGCATAACATTCAGCACAACATAGATTCAAAGTGGGGCGTTTTGAACTGAACCAAAGGTGGGTTACCCAACTGCACCACTGCACAAGTGACTGTCTGAGCACGCACCACTGCACAGGTGATTGTTTGAGCACGCACCGCTGGACACGTAACCGGGGCCGAGGAACACAGGGGGGGCTGCACTGGGCTTGCCGGCCAGCACACACACACAAACACCGTTTGAGGCGCTCTAGAAGCAAGAGAAGAGTGATATTACGCACCACTGGACACGTGACCAGGGCCGATAAACACAGGGGGCCCAGAGCTGGGCTTGCCGGCTTGCAGGATTGTGAAGATGTGCGGCGGGATGAGAGGCGCGAAGTCGGTGAGAGGAGGCAGCACAATGCCCCCTGCCTGCCAGCCCCACAGGCAGCAATTCATCTTCTTTGACCTCTCCGACAACATGTGCTCGAGAGCTGACGAGGAGCTGACAAGGAGCTGGCGAGGAGCTGGCGAGGACCTGACGGGGAGCAGCTCATCTTAGATCCCTTTTGGAACATGTCGGGCTTGCCCCTTGCCTTACCCATGTTACCCCATGCTCCACTTCAGCACGCAGCCAGGGGAGCTAATGCAGAAATTATATTATTGACACGCCATGCCACTACCCACCCTCCACCCCTTGCCCCATTTGTTTCCCCACAAGCGGCGTCGCATACTCCTTTGCGCTCTACGACAGCACAGAGCCCGGCGAGCTGGTGTAGATCTATGGGCCGCAGGAGGCAATTTTGCAGAGGGACTCCCTCATCCCATACGTGTTTCCGCATGTTCCCCCCCGACCCCTTGCGCCAACAGGCAGCAATGCATACTCCTTTGCGCTCTACGACAACACAGAGCCAGGCGAGCTGGTGCAGATCCTTGGGCCACAAGAGCCGCGCTGCAGAAGGACTCCCTCTTCCCGCTCGTGCTACCGTCGCTGGACGTGCCTCTCAGCAACCATGTCGAGCCGTTCCCTGAGGGGCTGTTCGGCCGCACGTATGAGGCACACTGCAGGTGGGTGCCACTGTGTTCCACCTTGTTCCAACGCATTTCACCGCGATGCACCGCTGCGTGTAATCGTGGGACGAGCAGTGCCTCGCAACAACCATGTCGAGCCGTTCCCTGAGGGGCTACTCGGCTGCAAGTATGAGGCGCATTGCAAGTGTCATTGCGGAGAGTCACTTTACAATGGGTAGACGGACTATGTGGGAGGCTACGAGGTTGTAAGGGTGATCGTAGTGGCAAGAGTTTCACTAAGAAAACATGTTGAACAATGAACACAATGGACTAGCAAAGTTGATATAGCAGGAATGCAAAGCAACGTAGCAATCAGCAAGTCGGCTTCCAGCCCAGCACAAAGGCGGCTTCCCAACTCCGCAAGTCGGCAGCGTGCCAACGAAGTTGGACGGCGGCCTGCCAACACTGCAAGGCGGCGATCTGCCAGCGTTGCACTAGGGCAGCTTGCCAAGGTTGCAACTAGGCGGCTTGCCAGCGTCGCAGTCGCAGGTGACAGGTGCGCACATGTGGGCACCTGCCCTGTAGGTGCAGGTAGACGGTTACGCACGTCGTGCACCTTCACGCACATTGCGCAGGTGCCAGATCGACCACATGTCGACGGTTGCGCCAGATGCACCACGTCGCCACGTGATGTTGTCACGTAGGTCGACTTTGCCAAACTGCCTGGGGCGAAATTCGCGCAACCCCGCAAAACTTCGTCGACTAGTTACCAAGTCGACCAGAAGAGGCCGCTAAGTCGGCGCCGACTTCGACGTAGGTCGGCTCCATGTCGCCGGTCTCTTCCGCCGACCGCCGAGTCGCCGACTTCGTCGGCGTCATCGAGGTCGACTTCGTCGTGGTTGGCTTCGCTGTGGTCTGTTTCTCCGAAGTTGGCTTCGCTGAAGTCGGCTCCACCGAAGTCGGCTAACCAGACCAGCCGACTTGATCCTCTAAATCGGCGCCGTCCAAGAAGCTTGGCCGGCTGCACATTTTGCACGTCGGACGACGAAGTCGGCTTCGCCCAAGTGAGGGCGGGGCATTTTCTCGTCAACAACCGTGCCATTCCATTCCATGCCATGCCATGCCATGCCATGCCACGCCACCATGGAGATCCACTGTTCTCGCAGCAACCATGTCAAGCAGGGTTAATATGGGGTTCTTTAAGAGGACGTACGAGGTGCTAGTGCAGGTGGGGTGGGTGGGTGGGTGGGTGGGTGGGTGAAGGGGCAGCAGTACTCGAGAAAAGCTTTAGCAGGTAAGAAAGAGAGTAAAAAGGTACCCTAGCTAAGAGAACTTTGATCGCACAAACAGTATTCACTCAAAAATATCAGGTCGCAAACATGTTTCGGCAAGGCGGGGAAAACCCCATCAAGCCTTCATCAGTGCTTCTGGACAAATTAGATCTACAGCTAGGCATGAGCTAAGAATCAGCCCACTCCTCGGACAGATGTCAAGATTCTCAACTACCCAGATTGCCTAACAATGACAATCACCAACACAGCACTGGGTAAAAACTCGAGGCTACAAATGTCAGCCTTCTGGAGCGTCTGGGAGAAGTTCGTGCATCTCCATGCATTGAAAATAAGCCCCATCTAAGCCTTCCAGAGCCTTCCGGAGACTTCGACAGGGCTATTGATAAGCCTTGGTACCTTAGCTCTTGCAGGTTACGTGCACACCTCCATGCAATGAAAATAATCCCCATATAAAAACCGCATGAACTGAATTGATGTTTGAGGCGCCTAAAGAATCGGCGCAGTGCAGGTGGTGGTACACTGAAAATCCCAATTTTTACCCAAGTTCAATGACCCGAAATCTCGCAAGTAGGAGATTTCAGGGTATAAAATTTGGCACTTTCTAACCCATTTCTCCCTGCACGTCTTAGTCGAATCAATTCCACTCTCATTGTCCCCGTTCACTCTCCATCCGCCCTCAGTTTCGAAGGCACATACCCCAAGTGGGATCTGGTCTATGCACCCATGCTGCTGGGGCTGCTGGTGCTGCTGCTGGCGCTGCTGCTGTCAACCATGATTGCAGTGATGGCGTGGAAGCGAAGGCACATGGCGGAGGGCGTAAGGGAGATGGAGGTGTACACAGCAGCGCTCGAGAAGGCAGAGCGTTGCAAGAGTGAGACCGTGGCTAACCTCTCGCACGAGCTGCGCACGCCAATCATCGGCATGATAGGTGGGGGCTCACCTTCGTTTTCCTTCGTGCAGTTGGCACCCCTTTGTTTTTTAATGCAATCCGAGCCTTACACCGATGATACAAGTGTACAACACATAGACAGTCGTAACTGTGCCACTGTGCGTGAGAGACATGGGAGCATCCCGGCCTCAGGTCCTTGTTCTGAGGTGGATTGAGTGTCAAACGTGGGCTGGCCCAGATTGATTGCAGCGAAGTTGTTTGTCCACAATGTTGATGCCAGCCTTTGCCATCCACAATGTTGATCATCCCGGGCTCAGGTCCATGTCAGAAGTCGTTGTTTTGGCATCCCTTTGTCTCTCTGCTTTTTTGCCCACTTCGTTGTCCACTTAGGGGATTGTGCGTGTGCGGCTATGCCTTTGTTTTTCTCCAAACTTCCTCCCAGTGACAACAACCCCCCTGCCTTCGCTCTCCAAAAACCTCGCCTCACAGGGATGATAGAGATGCTGCTGGAGTCGCCACTGGAGGAGTGGCAAGCGGCGGACCTAAGGGACGCGGGGGAGTGTGCGCGGGAGACGGTGGACCTCATCAACCGCGTGCTCGACCTCGCCAAGCTGCAGGCCGGCCGCCTCCAGCTCGAGGCTCTCCCGCTCTGCCTGCCTCGCGTTGTTCAGCAAGCTGTCGCGCTCGCTGCCCAAGACGCCTGCACTCGGGGTCTGGAAGGTAGGGGGGTATCCTTGTTGGAGAGGCAGTGAATGCAGAGGTATGAAGCTGTTCTGTGCAAAGAAGTTCTAGGGTATGCCAAGGGGCTGGAAGGTATCTAAGATGTTTTGCGCGAAGCTGCGAGCGCCAATTCTAAGGTGTTCTTAGATGAGGATCTCTAATTTCATGATATCCTCATGAGAATTCTCCGAAGTGGCATATCTTACGATAATGGAGCCACTTCGGAGAGTTCTCAAAAGTTACTCCATCCAGCATAGCTTTTTCATGTATCTCTAAATTCATGATTTTTTTTTTTTTTTTTTTTTCATGGTGAGCATTCTCCATCTGTGTCATGTGTGGGATGCATGCAGTGTCATGCCATGTGGACCCAGGCTTGCCGGAAGTGCTGATGGGCGACCCAACCCGACTGCTTCAAGTCGTGGGCGAGATCACGTGTGAGTGGATTGACTGTTGAGAAAAGGTGAGGTTCGAAAAAAGGAGAATCGTTGGTAGAAGGTAAGGCCAATAACTCCTAGTTGAGTTGAACAACTTATTATTGCTGGATCAATAAACGCTGGGACAGTCTACCAACCAGCAATAATATATTGTGGTCGAGGAACCCCTTGGTATAGTAGTAGATACACCTCTTATTCTAGGTTATATTGTTAAAGTGTATTAGAATGTTACAACACAATTCCACTCCACATCATACATAAGGGTCGATGGTAAAGTATATACGAACGAGAGGGGATAAGAGAGGGTTGAGCCCAAGGAGGCGAAAGAGAGAGGAGGGATTGAATGAAGATGTACAGTGAGGTATCTTTTCTCAGCCGAAGGTGCCCTTCGTGAACAAAATCCCAAATGAAAAACTCGTCGAGCTTGATATGCTTGGAGAGTCCATGAAATACAGCATCCTTAATGAGGTGGGTGTTCGCATTGTCACATCAAATCGTGTGGAGTACTGGGGAGGACCAAGTACCTCAAAATTTTAAGGTGATCTATCAAGCCTTCTGTCGACGATTAAGGTCTTGCCCTCGCTTTGGTGAAGTCGTCCTCGCTGTCTGGTGCGCAAAGGTGTGCAATCGGTTGCATTTTGTGAACTTCAAATAACTTTTATCGGAGTGCCATGACGCGCTCGTCGACGAGCTTTCGAGGCAACGACTGCGAAAGTTGACGAGGCGCTGACCGACGAAATCAAGTCGGCGTTGAGGAGATTGATCGCCGACTGACAGAGTTAACACATCGGTGGCGCCAAGCGAGCGGCGACTTTCTGGTCGACCAAAATTACTGGTCAGCGAAATTTTGCATGTGCGCGAATTTCGCCCCAGATGGTTTTGGCGAAAGTTGACTTGAGAAATCGGCATTACGTGCTCTACAACCTGGCACATGCGCAATGTGCATCACATGCACGACCTGCATGCAACCGTATGTTGTGCAGACTTGCACCTACTTTGGTAGGTGACCCACATATGCGCACATGTTCACCCGCGACTTCAGTGCTGGCAGGCCATCTTGTTGCAATGCTGGCAAGCCGCCTTGCTGCAGCGTTGGCAAGCCGCCTTCCTGCTGTTCTGGCAAGTCGCCTTGCAGAATGCTGCTAGATGGGTCGCATGCCTTCCTAGGCTAATCGGCTTTACCTTTCATTGTATGCATATTGATTCAACATTTCCTGGTCTTGTCAACTTTGTCTACGAGCACAACAAACTTGCACAAGCGTTAGGCAACACAAGGATCACCTCGTACAACATGTAGCCTCCCACGTAGTTTACCTCCTATTGTATACAACTCTCCGCACCTTCGATGACATGACCGCACCGAGCGGTCTTGGTGATTGCTCGTACCCGCCCAATCCGCTGCGGGGAGCGAGGAGAGATGTGTGCTTAACAAATGCCATGGGTTTGGCAATTGTAGGTGTCCTAACGAATAAAGAACTGACCACTACCATCAGAACGAAGGCCCAACACATTCTTGACTTGATGCTCTTGAGAACCACTATTGAAGACATCCTTCCAACTCAAGTTCCTAGAAGTAAGATTCGAATATTCCTAACAGGTTCTACTGGCCAGTTTCTCACTTATATATCTGTTTCCTGTGCTCCTTTGCCTTTCCCCAACCACCCGTCATGCAGCGCATGCAGCGAGCAACACTCCAGCAGGCCACATCACATTCCATGTGTGGTGTGCCCCTCCTCCTCTCCAGCAAGGCCCTCGCTTACACATCTCTTTCCTGTGCTGTTGTGTGCCTCTCCTTTCAATATACCCCGTCCTACGGTCGTGCAGCGCGCATGCGGCGAGCAACACTCTAGAGGGCCACGTCACCTTCCGCAACCATCCCTCATATATCTCCCTCCTGTGCCCTTTCCCTCTCTCTGACCTCCCATCTTGCAGCGCATGCAGCGAGCAACACTCTAAAGGGCCACGTGACCTTCCATGTGTGGTGTGCCGCCACCCCTCACCAGCAAGACCCTCATGCAACCGCTTCTCATCCCACCACACCTCGTCCCACCACCTCTCTTCCCACCACCCCCCGTCCCAACACCCCTCAGCCGTCCACCCCTCAGCCGTCCACCCCTCAGCCGTCCACCCCCCGTCCTGCCACCCCTCGTTCTCACGGCTCCAGCGCACCACTCTCATCCCTCCTTGCTTCTCACACCCCATGGCAATCTCCCCCTCCCCTCAATTCATCCCAAGCCCCTCAAAACGCTCTCACCCCTCTCACTACTCTCACCCCTCCAGCCTCACCAGCCCCTCAGACCCCTTGCACCCCTCTATCCCCCAGGACCCCTCCATTATCTCCAGCCCCTGCGGCCCTTCGATCCCCTCACTCCCTTCCAGCCCCTCGCACCCCTCGCACCCCTCGCACCCTTCTCACCCCTCCACTATCTCCAGCCCCTGCGGCCCTGCTCGCCCCAACAGCCTGGCAACAGTTGGCAGCGTGTGTGCGGCGCTTTCCCCCAGACACCCGCCTGGTGTGCACCCCTCAGAACCAAGCAGCACCCCTGGGAAGTCGCTCTGCACAAGCGGAGAGTCAGGGAGGGATGCTGCTGGCAGGGCTGGGAGGGGTGGGAAGGCTGGGAGAGCTAGGAGGGTGGGGGGGGCTGGGCCTGCTGGGTGGATGGGGATGGGGAAGAGGTGCAGGGGTAAAATGTGTGGACGAGCGGCAAAAGGCAGGTTTGGAGGGTGGTGGAGATGGGCGCGTGGAGAGTGATAACGAAGGGCGGCTAGAGAGGGAGGTGGCGGCGTGGGTGGAGGGGGCGTGCAGGGCGAGAGGAGAGGGCGAGTGGATGGTGGTGATGGCGTGTGAGGATACGGGCGGTGGTATACCACCCGAGGAGATGCGGTGGGTGCTGGATCCGTATGGGGGCGACCTTCACCACTCCACGCACTCCCCTGCTGCTGCTGCTGCTGCTGCTGCTGCTGCTGCTGCTGCTGCTGATGGCACTGGTGGTGGTGGTGGTGATGCTGCTGGTGGTGCTGATGGTGGTGGTGGGCGTGGTGACAACAAGAAGCAAAGAAGATTCACGGTGAGTGAAGCGGCACATGAGTGCGTGCGTGCGTCCGTGTGTGCATGTGACTATGTTGACAGTTGTGTGCGTTGAATCTCCCTTCCCTTCCTGCATGCAGCTTTTCGGTTTCTCTGTGCTCTACATTCTTAAATCACTTACCCCTTTTTGGGGAGAGCAGCAACACCCCTCTCTCTCCCTCTCTCTCTTATCACTCCCCATCTCTCTCTTCCCTCATGCTTGTTCTACTGGCCGCACAGAAGCCAAGGAGGGGAAGCAGAGCCACCCCTCTCACGCACGACGAGAGGGCTGCTGCTGGCCCCGCCTGGACGCCCTACCCTGTCCGCTTCCTCCTCTCCATCTCCTTGGTACGTGTTGCTCTGAGTGAACCTGTCGCTTCCTCTTCTCCACCTCCTTGGTAAGCTTTGCTCCGACTGAACCAGTCCGTTTCCTCCTCTTGTGAGTGCTGCAACACTCAGCCGTTTTCTGCCAGGGTTATGCCGCTACTTGGTGCGGCCTCTTGGCAGTCGCAAGCAAGCAAGCTCGGATCGGATGCATCTTGTGACACCTTTGAGCATCACAGTGGCTCTCTAAGAAAACTTTCTCGCTCTCAATTAACCAGGCTCCTCCTTTCATTCATTCCATGAGGTTTGTTCCGACGTTCTAAGAACCATTCAAGTTGATGGAAAGAACACCTTCGTCGCCCACCTGTCAGCTACTGACAGCACCTGCGGCCTCTTGGCAGCCGCAAGCAAGCAAGCAAGCAGGCTCGGATCGGATGCATCGTAGAGCATCATCTTGACACCTTTGAGCATCACAGTGTTTGGATTGACAAGGCCGGCTGCCACCAGGTTGCGCTTGGTAGGGCTGGAGTCTCTTGCTAACAGTCTCTTGTTAGACTGCTGCTCGCCTAATCAAAAGGCTGAAGGCGCTTGGTAGGGCGGGAGTGAGCACTACCACCTTGCGGAGGACGGGTCTCCCAGATGTACATTATTCAGCTGATGTGTACAATCGAGTACAGGTCTCGACAGCTGGACAATCGAGTGCTTTGGGATTTGCACGAGAGCGTTGATGTGTACAGGTTCACATCGAAATTACCGGCATTATGGCAACACCTTAGGAAGCGTGCTAGATCAGAAGAGGGTTCCAGAAAAAATGCAAATATGTTTCAGCAGTGGGAACCGAAGGTGGAAAAATATTGCCATGCCTGAAGGCCACACCACACCACATCTCTCGAAACTGGTGCTGTCCGTCTCTGCACCAACCCTTCCCAACAGTCCCCCTCTCCCTCGCTCTCCCTCCCGCACCCCCTCCGCCCCCCCTCCTCCACCCCAGGTGGCGGAGATGCGGGGAAGCATGGCAGTGCTGTCAGACAGCGCCACAGGCACCACCATCCTGCTGGCGCTGCCCCTCTCTGCACCGCCCCCCCCAACCGAACCTGGAAGCAGCAGCAGGCGAGGGGAGGGGCAATGCAGAGGGCTGCACCCGTGGATGGGGGTTCCCAAAGGGCTTTCCAGGAGCTCCTCTTTACACTCTATCCCGTTAAGCCCAGTCGCCCCTTTGAGCCCAATAGCCCCGTTAAGTCCACTCAACCCCTTAAGCCCAGTGGCCCCTTTAAGCCCCGTAAGCCTGCGGCCACAAGCCATGCCACAGCTAACTCCCCTCTTAGGAGTGGGCAGCATTGGGAGCAGCATGGGGGGCAGCATGGGGGTTGTTGGGGGAATTCTGGGAGGCGGAGCGGGCGGTGCAGAGGCGGCGGTGCGGGCGGCGGTGGCGGGGCGGCGGGTGGCAGTGGTGGATGACAACGCGGTGAACCGCATGGTGGTGCGGCGAACGCTGCAGGGCTACGGGGCAGACGTGCTGCTGCTGGCCTCGGGAGAGGATACTCTGCAAGCTCTCTCCTCGCCCACGGATTCCTCTCCCTCCACGCCCCTGCAACTGCTGCTTCTGGATCTCCACATGCCTCCTGGCATTGATGGGTGAGTGCCTCTCTGCCTCGCTGCATACGGGCCCACGTGCTGCTGGCCTCGGGAGAGGACGCCCTGCAAGCTCTCTCCTCCTCCAACATGGACCCCTCTCCCTCCCCCTCCTCCCTCTCCTCGCCCCTCCAACTGCTGCTGCTAGACCTCCACATGCCCCCTGGCATTGACGGGTGAGTTCTTCTCTGCTTTACTCCCGACTACGGGGCTGTCGTGCTGCTGCTGGCCTCGGAGAGGACGCCCTGCAAGCTGTCTCCTCCAACATGGACCCCTCTCCCTCCTCGCCTCCCTCGCCCTCCTCGCCCATCCAACTGCTCCTGCTAGACTTGCACATGCCCCCTGGCATTGACGGGTGAGTTCTTCTCTACCCGGCGACGGGGCTGTCATGCTGCTGCTGGCCTCGGGAGAGGATGAGCTTCAAGCTGTCTCCTCGCCTCCCTCTCCCTCCTCGCCCCTCAAACTGCTGCTGCTAGACCTTCGCATGCCTCCTGGCATCGACGGGTGAGTGCTTCCCTGGGTTTAGACATCTCATAATCGAGTTCTGAGACGTCTGTGATCTTCACATACTTCCTGGTAGTTTGTGCCTTCCTGCCTCAACCCCACATGCTTTGAGGCGCCTCAAAAGCAGATTTGAGACGTCTCTGATCTTCACATACTTCCTGGTAGTTTGTGCCTTCCTGCCTCACTTTTGAGGCGCCTCAAAAGTCATCTGAGAGTCGACTCAAGGGTGTTGAGACGTCTCTGATCTTCACATACTTCTGGTAGTTTGTACCTTCTTGCCTCACCCCCACATGCCCTCCCTTCTTCTGCCTCTCTCCCTGCTTCTGCCTCTCTCCCTGCTTCTGCCTCTCTCCCTGCTTCTGCCTCTCTCCCTGCTTCTGCCTCGCTCCCTGCTTCTGCCTCTCTCCCTGCGTCTGCCTCCCCTTTCATGTCGCAACCTAAGTTGGAATATATGCATTTCGCGTTTTATACTCAAGCATATATCCACTAGCGCATAAATGCATAGTACAGCTGAGTGTTCTTTCCCAACTTAGGTCGCAACTTCATGACGGCAGTGTGGTGACCTGTGCTGTGAGTCACCATTGGTCTGATTTGATTGCCGTTCTTGGCATGTTTTTCCGTTCTTGGCATTCTTTGCCATTCTTGGCATGGTTCAATGCCGCATACAACTCCCCCTTGTTCTAATCAACTGCCCCCTTTGTACCTTCACCTTCCCCCATCAATTGTCCCCCCTTTTTGAGAATTCTCAAGAGGCAGATTTGAAACGGCGCGTAAAATCCGGTGCATGGCGCCACTCCAAATCTGATTGTTTCGAGTGCCGCTTTTGACAATGTTCTCATGCTTTACTTTTACAAGCTCCACCTTCGTTACCCTTGTGTCTACTGCTCCCCCATGCGGCAGATTTGAAACGGCTCGGCGAATCCGGCGCATGGAGAGTGAACAGCAACTTCCGAGCGTGGCAGAAGCAGCAGCAGCCGACGAAGCAGACGGTGCAGGAGCTGACCAGGCAGGAACGCCAGCAGCCAATGAGGCAGGCACAGACGAAGCAGACACAGCAAGCAAAGCAGAAGGGGCTAATGAAGCAAGAACCGATGACGAGGCAGCGAGCGAGTTTAGTTTTCAGACGCCTCAAGAGTCCACGACAGCAGCCAACGGTTCAGTTGACGAATTCTCTTTTCAGACGCCTCAAGAGTCAACAGCAGAGGGAGAGGCAGTGACAGAAGAAGCGGCAGGTTGGAGAAGGGCCTGTCCTCAGCGGCTGTGCATCATAGCGCTGACGGCAGATCTGGATGTTGGGGTGAAGCGAGCGTGCTTTGAGGCGGGGATGGATGGAGCCGTGCGCAAGCCGATAGTGGCGCATGAGCTGCTTGCAGCACTCGTGGATGCGGGGTTTGCAGATTTTGAGATGGACGATTCACTCATATTGTAGTGGTTCTCTTGTGTGTGCCAAATAAATTTACCGTACTCTTGGGGTTGGGGTATATTGGTAGGGGTTCTTTACTTACGTTTCTTGAGTACCGTACATGATGCTTGCTTCTTGGGGGTTTCCATTCCAGGGCAGCAGGAACGTCCCCCTTTCGCTGTTTTTGCCCCTAATCGTCAAGCTATGGTTAGGAGTACTAATGTACAAATACGGCTGTAACAACAAGCTTACGGTACCACTATCAGACCTGTTTGTTTTATCGTCTGAAATTTTCAGACCCTTCTTGTATAGTCAATCTGACTCCGTATAATTTCTTTGTCTGGAAATATGCAGATGAGAAACGTTTATTTGGAATATCTGTTTATATTCAGAAGTGTAGAACATGTTTCACTTGAATCTTCAGGGTTGTAGATTCAGCTTGTCCAAAAGCGAATGTTTAGGTCTGCCACCAGCAAGTTCCGTGACCTAAATAATACCTCGCTAGTGGTGATTGTGTTATAGGTAGTATTAACTAGTCTTGTCACGTGTCAGTACACGTTATTGACTGCTGTCACCATCTCAGACACCCGCGTGGCGTCTGTCTCGGAGATTTCTCGCCTAACCATTCTCAAGCGCCTCGCTGCTATCTGTACGAAAGCGCTGCAGGCAATGGTGTCGAAAGGGGTTCATCATGGAGCAATGCACAGGACATTCATTTCTTTCTATTCTCAAGCCGCTCGCGCCTCGTGGCCATAAACGCCTTACCATTCTCATGCGCCTCGCTATTTGTAGGAAAGCGCTGCAGGAAGCGTTCTCGAAAGTGATTCATCATGGAACAAGGTGACTTTTGAGTCGACTCATGGAGCAACGCACAGGACATCGCTACCGACGACGCAGCAGCCCCCGCTACTTCCGCTGCTGCTGCCGCTGCTGCTTTCGGCTGCTGCTTCGGCGGGATTGATCGGCGGTAGAGCTTCCGCTGATCATGGCGTCGACTCAGGATCGTAGCGCTAGGGGCATTGTATGGCAGCGATGCGGCAGCGATGCGGCAGGTGCTGAAGCGCTACAATCAGCTGCGGTAGAGCCGCGTGTGGTGGTGATTACTGATGACATTGACGCAGGATCGCAGCATTAGATGGATAAGTGGGCATTGAATGGCTGCGATGCGGCAGCGTCAAGCGGCGCTATAGCAGGTGCAGCACGCTACGAGCGACACGCTAAGCGCAGCACGCGGCGCAACGGACGGACAGAAGGCGGCGCATCTGATGGCGCAGCGGGCGGCGCAGCAGATGGCTTGGCGGACGGTGCAGCTAGAACCTTTAAGGAAAAAGCGGTCCTTGCGAGTGGGAGGCGCGACAGCACAGGGGTGAGTGCAGGGCGAGACAAGGGTGAGAGAGGGGTGGGTACCGGGTGGGGGGTAAAGAAGGTAGGAGGAGGAGGAGGAGGAAGAGGATGAGTTGGAGGAGTAGGTGGAGTGGTGGTAATGGATTCACATGGTATTGGGTTTGGGTGTGTTAGGTGACACTTCGCTGCTGCTATCTGTCACCCAGTGACTTATCTCTGGTCTCAGGTGGTTAGTAATCGGCTTTATTTGGGATACCTGTGGTTCTCTATGGCCTCAGGTGGGTTTTCTGTGGCTTCAGGAGGGTTGTCTATAACGTCAGGTGGGTTTTTTGTGGCTTCAGGTGGGGTCTTCGTGGCTTCAGGTGGGATCTTCGTGGCTTCAGGTGGACCCTCAACTCTTTCAGGTGGCAACAAGTCTACCGTTCCTGACATGGGCAAGAGCATACCTGTCGTTCCTAAGAGTTGACGGTCCACCTGAAACAGAACTCTTCACACACCCACATTCGTTCTTATGCCGAAGCGCCTCAGCGAAAAAGCTGAGGCACACGTAGATTAAGTAGCGCACCCACATCTGCTTGTTCTGTCGTGTAGTTGGCCCCTGAAGCCATGCACCCATCATCCTGAGTGCACCCATCATCCTGAGCGCACCCATCATCCTGGGCGCACCCATCATCCTGGCCGCACCCATTTTTCTCTCCGAGCAGAGTTGGATCCCAAGTCAATCGGAGCTAAGGAACAGCCACTCACGGAGAGAGAGGCTGGCACAAAGATACTCCAACCTCTCCAACAGCAGCATTCCAATTGATTCACTGAAGTGGCTCATGGAGAGAGTATTGGAATGCTGGCTGATGGTTGGATTCTGCTGAGGAATCCGCCATCATTTGTGGAGGGGAGGAGGGGGGAGAGGGAAGCTCGGAAAGACTTGGAATCTAACTTTGCTTGGAGAGAAAAATGGGTGCTAAAAAGTGATGTTGAGAAGTCTGAAAGTCGAAGGGCGGTGATGATGTGCTTCTGAGTCCCCTCGATACAGACGTCTTTGAAATGGGTGGTTGAGCAGTGCTGCATGCATGCTGTATAGAGTTTTTGAAAGTCCCCAAGTGCACCCAGAGATGTCTTAAAGTCGAAGGGCAATGATGATGAGCTTCGGGTTCTCCTCGATACAGACGTCTCTGATATGGGTGGTTAAGTGGTGCTGCATGGTGCAGAGTTTTTTAGAATCCCCAGACACACCCTGAGTCTCTTTGAATACTTCTCTAAGTGTTTTGCCAGTGCTGCATTCTGCATAGAATTCTGATGTCGTTAGATTGAGGTATTGTCTTGGCATATCTGATCTGACCTTCTGTGTCAATTCAAGGTGGGTATAGGCGCAGTAACTTCGATAAGTGTCTCACTGCTGCTGCATTCTGTCTCATGGAAATGCAGATGGCATCCGATCTAGGCAAGGCAAGGGCTTGGCATATCTAGGGTTCCCAACTTCCCAACCTTGTGTGTCAGGTTCGGTATAGGTTTGGGAATGATGCCACAGGTGAGATGTGCAGTGCACGAATGTTGGCTTGGCGTTGCCAACTCAACGGGCTTGTCCTTCGTGATTTTTTCAACCTTCTGGTGAATCACTCGAACTCATTCTGACTCCTTGTGAGTTATCTAATCTGCTTGCTAAACCAGCACTTGATACACACCTCTTCCCACCACCTCTTTTCTCACATCTCCCTCCCCTCCTGTCTTCCCATACATACTGTCACAGGCCTGCTGCATGCTGCTGTCCCGCCATCATCTGATGCGCACCTAAAAAGATCTTATCTGCGAGCTCATGGCCTCCATGAGAGCTTAAATGGAGAAAGAAGACGGCATGGCCTCCATGAGAGCTTAAATGGTTCTCACCACCTGCTCGTCTGGACTGCCATCCTCTCATGGTCAAGTCAACCAGAGAAAACACATTGGCACACTCAAACCGACATCACCTGATGCTCACCCTAGGAGAGCTCATAAGCGAGCTCATGGCCGTTCACAGTTTCACCACCTGCCCGTCCGGACTGCCATCGTCTCATGGTCCACCAGAGCAAGCAGATTAACACTTTCGAGCTGTCAATACCTGATGCTCACCCTAGGAGAGCTTGTGACTCAAAATTCTTTTGAGTCGACTCAAAAGTCACCTGATGCTCACCCCTAGGAGTGCACGTCACCGATCCCAATGGTCCGCTACCCGTTCGTCTTCCCTCCACCTCTCTCTTCTTCTATGATCTATCCCCCTCCCCTCCCCTCCTGTCGTTTCATCCATACCCTCCCAGGCCTGCTGCTGTCCCGTCATCATCTGATGCTCACCCTCCCATGTTGAAATCACTTTTGGGAATTCTCAAAAGTGATCTCAACACTGCTGCTGCTGCCCCGTCAGCATCTGATGCTCACCCAAACATCACATCTGCGAGCTTATGGCTGTTCACAGGTTCACCCTCCACCCTCTCGCTTATCTCCTATCCCCCTCCCCTCCCCTCCTGTCTTCCCATCCGTACCGTCACAGGTCTGTTCCTGGCCTGCCGTTACCACCTGATACTCACCCAAACATCACATCTGCGAGAACATGGCTGGTCACAGGTTCACCACCTGCCTGCTACTTTTGAGGCGCCTCAAAAGGGAGCTCATGGCTGGTCACAGGTTCACCACCTGCCTGCTCATCCAGACTGCCATTATCTCATGGTTAGCCAGAGCAAGCACATCGGCACACATCTCAGAATGTCACCACCACCTCCATGCTCCATCCGCTCAACGCTCAACGTATGCTTCTGAATTGACTCAAGTAATGTATCACCTGCCACATCGTATGGTTTGCCAGAGCAAGCACATCGTCGGCACACGTAATCCACGATCCTGGTTATCACCTGTCACGTTTTCTAATTATATAATCTTCATTATTTCATTATTTAACGCAGCGATTCCGCACACCTAATCCAAGAAGATCCCTCTCTCTTTTAAAAACATATTTTTGTTAGTGTAACAATCTCCTGCACGTCCACCCTCTTTTCTACTCAGCCCTTCAGCAGCATCCAGCCGATACATCACACGTTCACCATTCTCCCATCCCTCAAATCGCTGCAAGCCCTTGCACTTAGGTAGCAGTCGAGCCAAAATATTCCTCCCTTTACCCTGAACCATATCCCTGCTTCCGTCCTCCTCAGGCCTACCGGTAGTACCTTCCACAGCCGACTCTGAACTACCTCCTGATTCCAAGCCTGTCTCATCTCGGCTTCTCGACGAGCCCTCCCCTGCATGCCTCCTTCCCAAGCTTTCTCCCCCATCGCCCCCTCTCAAATAAGTCTTGAAAAGCTCCACAACATCTCTCCCAATGCTATCGACAAACAGTCCCTCCAATCCACCCGGCCAGAGCACAAGCGAGCGAAGCGTCCACAGAGACACAGGGCCCCATTCCACGGCATGGAAGCAACACAGGCCGTGCCACGCACGCAGGTCCAGCGGCCGAAAAACCCTAATCTCCCTCCACTCAAGAGCCTTCACCGTCGCCAGTACACCGGGAGGGAGACAAACAGTCTCCTCTGGCGGCATGTTGGTGCAGAGGGAGTCAAGCGAGGTGAGGTGAGGCGCGTGTAACGGCCACTGCTGGCAGGGCGGGTCTGTGCGGAGGGAGAGAGACGTCAGATGCGCGGGGCAGGTGGGGAGCAGGAGCAGGCGGGCGTGGCGGGACTTCCAGAGGAAGCCGTGGGCGGAGAGACAAGGGGCGGAGAGAGAAATGGAGCAGTTAATCCCTTCGAGTATGACCCTCGTGGCAAGCGGGAGGTGGAGAGAGAAGGAGTTTCGCCCGTCCATGTCTATGTCCCTCTCACTCCCCGTCGGCCCTTCCGTGCCCGCACCGCTTCCAGCACCCTCGCTTCCCTCCTGAGGCGCGAATTGATCCGCAGCGCCGAGAGCGAGGTACTGAAGCTGTGAAGAGAGACAGGAGACGAAGCGGAGCACGAGGGGCGAGCAGGCGGGGAGGTCGAGACTGAGGCGGCGCAGCACGGGAAACGACCTGCCCTTGTCATTCGGCTTCTGTTCTTCCATGATCGAAATTATCTCCCACATTTCAGCAACCATCACGGGATCATTGACGGGTTGCCGCGGTATGTCGCGCTCGCTGTCCGATGCAACGCCGTGCGTGATAAGAAGCGACTCGAGGCGAGGCGCTTGCGATAGGGAGAATAGAAGTCGTGGTGGCGAGGGGAGGCTTCGGGAGAAGTAAAGATCGAGGGACATGATGGAGGAGAGGGAAGAAAACAGGCAGGAGCGCATGAGGGAGGAGACGAGGCGGGGAGGCGATTCAGTGAGAGAGAGGTGAAACTCCGAGGGGCTTGTGTGCTGCTTGGTCAGCCATGCGAAGCTGCGGAATCGTTGATCGAGGGAGACGGCGGAGGGCGCGCACTGGCAGTCTTCGTAGAACACGAGATGCACGTCCGCGGATAGAGCGCGTCGAATGCACGGCATCGCGATGGCGCTCGGCACGAGGGGCCACGAGCAGCAGCACTCCTCTCTCTCCGCCGCGACCTTGTTGGCGATGCGCAGCCACACGTCGGCGGGTAGCGCGTCTAAATCTCCGTAACGAATCTCCGGCGTAGCGGGCTGGCTATCGAGGGCTCGGCGCGCCACCGCTGGTCGTTCGTCGAGTTTCGATCGCTTTGCGCGCGGAGAAACAGCCATGGACTGTTCTGGCTCTACTCGTTCCTCCTCCACCCCTTGGTCAGCCTCCTCTCCCTCCTCTTGTACTTCGTCCTCCAATTGCTCGGATACGATACTAGCTCCTCCCCTCACCTTCATCTCGTTCCGCGTTTTTCTCCCGAGAGCCGTATCCTAATCACCAGCAGCGTCACACCAAGCGATGTATGTCGCTAAATAACTTCCGGGTCGATACCGGTCAATTTTCCTGGTCTGCGCTGGAAAGAACTGCCGTCGTATCATTCAATGAACAGCTTGGAGTGAATGGAATGATGGGGGTATGTTACGAGTGCAATTGAGCGAACGAGTGAGAATTGCACTATCGAAGCAAGAGTACAAACTGAGCTAAAGCATGAGCGAAGGATATATAGCGAAACTATAGTGGTAACAATAAAGTGGGAAATTGAGGTGCGCTACGGGCCTAGCGCCGAGGTTTGGAGAATTGTCGAGGCGGAGGTCCGGAGCGCGGGTTACCAACCGAACCGTTAGGTTGGGTCGCGTCGTGAACAGTGGCGGGAGTTGTGGTCGAGGCGAGTGTCGTGAACGGGTAACGTGCATGGATGGGTGCTGATGGCGGGAACGGTCATGTACGCGGTAAGCAGGGACGCGTAGTAAGGAAAAGGAATTTTCCTTACACTACCCCCCTCCCCAAGGAGGCCCCTCTTATGAGAGCGCGTGTACATCTCGGAAGTTTCGGCTGCGCAGATACTCAGTGAGGACAGGGTGATTCTCAATTCTATCCAAGGGGACCCAGTTGTCTTCGGTGGGCGTGCGGTCTTTCCAGCGGATCAGGAATTCGATTCTGCGGGCTCCCCGTGGGTCACGTACTCGATGGCTCAGTATTTTCTCAGGCGTGATGATTGGCTCAGTCGGTGGTCGTGTCATGCTGGCGGGGCGATTGCGAGGCAGTTGGCTGGTGGATGGCACGTATGGGCGAAGCAGGCTGACGTGGAATGACGGGCTGACGTACCAGTCAGCAGGGAGGAGGAGATGGGCGGCGACGGGTGTGCTCATGTGGCTGATGCGAAATGGCCCGCAATATCGGGGGCGGAGTTTTGGAGTGATGGGCAGGCGGAGGTTTTGAGTGTCGAGTAGAACTAGGTCGTCCGGCTGGTAAGTGACAGGTCGGCGGTGGCGGTCAGCGTTGCGTTTAGCGATGATGTTTGATTTTTTTATTGCTTCGGCTGCTCGGGTCCGTGCTGCTTGCAGTATTTCTGCGAACAGTTGCGCGCGTGGGACTGGGTTGTCGGGATTCGGGGTCATGGGTACTGTGGGGTCTTGTCCGTAGTTCAGGTAGAACGGTGACTGTTGGGTCGTGGCGGATGGCGAGTTGTTGTACGCGAATTCGATGAGTGGCAGTTGCTGTTCCCACGTGGTCGGGTCGTCGCACGTGGCCCGGATGAGCTGTTCCATGGTCTGATTTGTCCGTTCTGTCTGTCCGTCGGTTTCGGGGTGGTATGATGAACTGAACTGCAGTCGCGTGCCGAATTGCTGCCACAGGTTCCGCCAGAAGTTGCTGGTGAATTTCGTGTCTCTGTCGCTGATGATTGATGCTGGTATCCCGTGCAGTCGAACGATGGTGGAGATGAAGAGGCGGGCTGTTTCTTCGGCTGTGATTGATTTTTTGCATGCTGCGAAGTGTGCCATTTTCGTCAGTCGATCGACGACAACCAGGATCGCGTCATTCCCACTTGCTCCGGCCGGTAACCCCGTGACGAAGTCCATCGTCACCTGCTGCCAAGCACGCTCTGGGGGTGGTATCGGCTGCAACTGTCCTGCCGGCCGCTTCCGTGATGACTTCATGATCTGGCAAGTGGGACACGATGCCACGTGTCGTTGAACGTCGGCCAACATTTCGGGCCAGTAATAATACCGCTGCAGCTGCTGCCGTGTTTTCTCTACCCCGAAATGTCCCGAGGTAACTCCGTCGTGTGCCTCCTGTAACAGTAATTCCCGTAGCAGTGTGTACCCTGGTACCCAGATGCGGTCGGTCCCGGCTTTTACGTAATAGACGCCTTTGGCTGCTGCGAACTGCTGCGAATTTCCTCCTGTGAAGAATGGGTCTGTTTGGTACCCATGGGTAAATAGTCCTGTCAGTAGCGGGCTGGTCTGGGCGAGTAGTATCGCGTGGATTTGGGCAGTGGGGCGGGTCAGTGCGTCAGCGATGTTGGATGCTCCCTTTTTGTAGGTGACAGTGTAGTGGAAATTTGACTCGAGGAAATCGAGCCAGCGGATCTGTCGTGGGTTGAGGTGGGGCTGTGCGCGGAGGTACTGTAGGGATCGGTGGTCTGTCCGTACTGTCACGTCTGCGCCGGTCAAGTAACAGCGCCAGACTTTGAACGCATGCACGATCGCGAGCATTTCGCGGTCGTGTATCGGGTAATTTTTCTCGGGCGGATGCAGCTTTCGTGATTCGTATGCGATGGGCTGTAGGCCGTTGCCGAAATCCTGTAGCAGTACGGCTCCAATGGCGATGTCGCTTGCGTCGGTTACTACTTCGAAGGGGCGGTGTGGGTCAGCGATGCGCAGTACGGGTGGTGAACAGAGAACAGTTTTCAGGGCAGAGAAGGCAGCATGCTCTTTCTCCCCCCACGTAAAAGCGACCCCTTTCCGCAGCAGATCCGTCAGTGGGGCTGTTTGCTTCGCCATGTCGGGGACGAACCGACGCACGTAATTCACGAACCCTAAAAAACTCTGCAGCTCCGTGATATTTGTCGGGGGGTGCCATGCTTTGACCGTGTCGAGCTTCTTTGGGTCGATTTCAACCCCAGCCTCCGAAATGACGTGCCCCAAAAATTCTAACCTGTCCTGAAAAAACTCGCACTTGGAACCCTTGGTCAGTAGTCGGTGCTTGTCTAAAACGTTAAACACTGCTTCCAGATCTGCTAAATGCTGCTGCTTATCACGACTGTAGACTAGGATGTCGTCGAGGTAAACTATCACGCATTTATCTAAAAGTGGCCTAAACGCCTCGTTCATGGTCATCTGAAATGTTGCCGGTGCGTTGGTCAACCCGAATGGCATCACAGTGTACTCGAATGACCCGTACCTAGTCCTAAATGCTGTCTTGGCGCAGTCTGATGGTTCGACCCGAATCTGATGGTAACCTCCCCGTAAATCTATTTTCGAAAAAACCCGGGCTGTTCGCAGTTGATCGATCAGTTCGTCGGCGCGGGGAATGGGGTATCGCGACTTGACTGTTACCCTGTTCAGTGCTCTGTAGTCGATACACATGCGGAAACCCCCGTCTTTTTTCGGTGTGAACAGTATCGGTGCGGCGAACGGCGACGAGCTCGGTCGGATGAATTTTTTCTCTAACAGGTAATCTAACTGCTTCCTCAGTTCGTCGAGCTCTGGCTGTGTCAGGCGGAATTGTCGCTGTACAGTTGGCTGTGCCCCCGGTTCTAACTCTATGCGGTGGTCATGTGCCCGCTGAGGTGGCAGTCCCTCTGGTAAATCGTCCGGAAAAATCCCCGGGTATCGTTTCAACAGTTCCTGTAGTTCAGGCGGTACTGCTGCCAACAGTTTCTGAAAATCGTTCGGCTGCTCCGCTTCTCCTACCAATGCTATATCCACTGCGTACACGTTAGCTCCAGCGGCAACAGCCCGTTTCATCGTGATGGCGTTGACGTGGACCGTTGAAGACTCGGGCGACTGCCAGCGAGGTAGCACGACCCAGTTACCGCTACTTCGCACAGTGCAGCTACCCGTCGTCCAGTCGATTCGCGGGTTATACCGTCGCAGCCAATCACGTCCCAGTAAAATGTCGTGCCCATCCAATGTCGTCGCGAGCATTTCCTGTGTAAACCCAAAAATTCCCCCGCAGCGGACCTTTACTCTCTCCACTTTCTCCCGTATGGCCAGTGGCGTTCCGTCCACTAAGCGTGCATCTATTTCCGGTAAACACCGACTAAGTGTCAGTTGCAGCTTTCGTGCGGTTGCGGTATTAACTAAGCTGTGGCTTGCTCCTCCGTCTATAAAAATTTTCACAGCTGCTCCCTGTATTTTCCCGTGGATCAGTACTGGGCAATCCGTCGCTGTACCCTCCTTATTCATCCGAGCCCGATCGATAGCGTGAATCGGTACTGTGACTCGGTGAGGGTCGGTGTGGTTGGGCGAGCAGGCAGTCTCGTCAGTAGTTGGCCCGATTCCTACTGACTGCTGGCGTTTCCCTGCCTTAGAGACTCCCTCCCCTGCTCTGCTCCGCGGCGCCTCAGCTCCTCTGGGCACTCACTCTTACGATGGCCCGGCCTATTGCAAGCGAAGCAGCGCCCCTTAAACGGCGCGGCAGCTGCGTTCGTCGCAACAGCGTGTACAGTGGCGTGCTCGATTGGTCCCCGAGGGCGATGTCCGTAGTAGGACCCCGGTCTCGGTCGGCGTAATATGTCGATTTTCTCGGCGAGCGCGAGAATCTCGTTGAAATTTGAGAGTCCGCGTAGCATGATTTCGTGCGAGATGTCCGGCTTCAGCCCTCCGACGTAACGGTCCACCCGCTCCGCTTCGTGCATATAGCCGACTTGCTCGCATAATGCGAGAAAACCGCTCGTGTAGTCTTGGACCGATCCGAGCTGCCGCCAAGTACGCAGTTTCTGACGCGCCGAAATAGAAGCCGCGATCGGCTCGAAGCGCGCCCGAAGCCCTGCGCACCACGCATCCCACGTGCTGTATTGGGCTGTTTCGCAGAATGAACTCCAGGTGACGGCTGGTCCCGTGGGCCCTTCCTCTTGCGACAGTGGCTCGTAGGCGCGTGGCGACGTCACGATGACTCGCCACCAGTCCATGGCGGGGCCCCTCAGCAGCGAAACAGCATAGCGAATCTTCGCTGCGTCCGACTCGACGTAATTCGCGTCGAAGAAAACGTTCATCATGAAGACCCACGACTGAACCGTCGGACCTCCACGTTGGCTTGGATCGAAACGGGGCGGGCGCTGCGGCTTGAGTGGCATTGGTGCCATGATGTCGTGGTCGCCACTTGTTGCTGCAAA